GAGTTTTGATTTTTGGACAGCTATCGATTCTCTCTCTATCTATTTTAGTTAAGAAATTATTACATGTAAAATATTTTACTAAATAGTTTGGAATTTTAAGTATGAGTGCGTTTCTATCTGCTTTTGTTGAAAATTTTGACATTTAAAAATTGGAATGTTTATCTTATTTGTCATGGACAACCTCTTCTCATATTTATAGCCAGTCGCACCTTTTATAAATTCTTCCATTCGTACAAAATATCTACGACTGTATATTTAACATATATATTTTAGATCTAACTCACATCTTCTCAAAAAATTTCGATTCTTATAGAATATCTACAATGATACTTTTCTCACATTTTAGATCTAACTCACACCTTCTCAAAAAAATTCTATTCTTACAAAATATCTACAATTATATATTTCTCAAAATTCTAAATACAAAATATGTACAATGGTATATTTCTCATATTTTAAATTCTAGATTTTTAATACAAATTTGTTGGCATTTTTTGTTTTGTGTTGTTCGTGTTTTGATATTTGGATTAAAATATGAGTAATGATATTCTGTCCGATCAAATTGGCCTACTCCTAATCTGAATCATACGTGTAACTGCCACGTAATTTCCTAAATAGTTGATATTTTATTTGGGCACTAAACAGACCAAAAATAAATATGGAAATAAGTTAAAGAGATTTTGATGACCCCTCTATCTTTCTGATTTCTCTATTCATCTTCTTCGTTCTGCTATTTCCTTAATTCTTTCTCTCTGACGTACTGTTCATCGTTACAGTTCTTAATGAACTTTTGAAGTTATTTTTTTTTTTTTTGCAATTAAATCCCCAAAACTGATACAATATACAAAAGCCATAATATATATTGAAAAAAACTATCTCTCTGATTTCTCTATTCATCTTTTTCGTTCTGGTGTTTTCTTGATTCTTTCTCTCTGACTCACTGTTCATCATTACAGTTCTTAATGAACTTTTGAAGTTTTTTTTTTTTTTAATCAAATCCCCAAAACTAATACAATATACAAAAGCCAAAATATATATTAAAAAAAAAATGAAAAAAATACCTTCAATCTTATTAAGGTTCATTTTTTTCCTCTTCAAACAAACATATATATGTATTTTCCCCCTTTGATTTTATGAATTAATAGAGACTTTATATAATTTTGTAGGCCAAATTTCTTTGATAATTACATTGTTTTTGTTCGGTCATTGGGGTAGAGGTAATCTATCCATCAAAACATATGGAACTTGGATAAGACACTGTGGATTAGCCCACTAAACACTTGGCCATTATTACACATGGAATTAAATACTTGGCCGAAAGTATATTTGGTAATGTCCATTCTTGCACGAATTTTGGAAATAAAAATATGAAAACATATTTGATAAAAAAATGTTAGAAGTTTGAAAAATATAATGGTTAGTTTTTATAAATAAAAACAAAAACAAAAATGGTATTGTTCATTGCTAAATTACTTGTTACTAATGCTGAAATATATAAAAACATCAAATTGATGTTTCAACTTTTGATTACTATTTACGAAATAATAGATAATGTGCAAAAACAAAATAATTTTTACGAAACACATTTTTTCTATTATTTACTATTACATGACCCGAGACAAATAAAAATATCAAAAACAAAACACAAATATAACCAACATAAAACAAATGCCCATTTAAAAGCAAAATAAATTCAGTGGGACAATATAGCCCAGAAGCCCATATGAGAGCTAAAATAAATTCAGTGGGACAACTTAGCCTGTAAGTTTCTAGCCCCACCCAATGAGATCATACACCATTTTAACGTCTTCGAGAAGGTTAAGCAAATAAACATTCATGTGATTTATTTTATTAATAAGTCTCTCATAACTAGTGTTATCAATTTTTTTTTTTTTTTTTTCTCGTCTCTTCTTTTTATCCAAACCAAGTTTGAAAAAAATGCAAATTTCACAAGTATATCAAGGAGAGAAAAAACTTTTGTGAAATTGCAAGGATTGGACCTCGAAATCTTTACTGGGTTAAGTGTAATGTTGGACCTAGATAATAAAAATATAAAATTCAAGGTTAGTCCACATGTGTTGGTAATATGTAGTCCTGGCCTGAACAAAAACTCAAATATCTAGGCACATACTTAGCAAAGGTTGGACTGGCTGATGGGGCCATATTTTACAGATCCAAATAAACATTAAAACCAGTTAGGCCCATGTTCATGCTAATGATTTTATTTTAATCCACAATATCTATAAAATTGTGGAAGTTTAAAAACTGTGTTAGAATTCCTCAAGAATTAATATTTTTGTATTGGATTGTAGTTGGACCTTTAACTACTTTAATTATAAAAAATAAAAAATAAAAAAAAAATAAAAAGGATACACGGTTATTTATAAATTTCATTTTGTAATGGGTGGTGTTAACAAGATTCAAAAAGAGTTTATTTATACTAAAATGCAAAGTAGTAACAACCAAGGATATTCAACTCCCCCAAGGGAGTTCCGGGTTCGAGTCCCAGCAGCGGAAGAAACCATTTAGTAGAATTATCAGGAAGCTCATACAAATTGTAAGAGTTATACAAGAAAAACATTATATAGAAATTTTTAATACACGATATTTTAGATTTCAAATATTAATGAAATTATAATTCATACATTATATAATTAAAATATAAGATCATTTGCATTATACCATATATCATTATATATATATATATATATAAATTTATTTTGTCAAATAGTAATTGATATTTTAGATATTAATATAATTTTTAATAGGATGATGTTACAATGTTAAATAGATTTTTTGTGTAACTCTTATAGATAGTGTTCAACAAAAATTCTTAGTAAACATATGATAGTCTCTTACCTTGTAAAGTGTCTATGTCAAGGATTGCCGTCAACAATAAAAATCGATCACTAAGTTTTTATTTATTTATAAGTATATGTATTTAAAATACATTTTTATTATAAGTTTGTGGATTATTTGAAGTATATTAGGCAAAGAGTCTTAATACATTGGCCGAATTTTGAACGGATCAATGAGAAAGAAAATGAGAGCGATTGTTCAAAATTCGAACAACAAATAATTCGTACAACTCACACATCCTTTATTTTTTTTTTTTTTTTTTTTTGAGGATCATGATTCCCTTCTTGGCGGAGGGGATTTTTTGTACACTCTCTTATATATACTCGCCGATCTGGTAGCCGGCGGCCTCTGAACTCTGAACTTCGGAGCTCCCATTCCTCAATTATGCACCTATCATTAAGAGAATCAGAAAATGATGAGGATATTAATAGTCAAGCAAGTTGCTTTTTGAGGATTTTGTGTTTCAAGGTTCACAAAATAAAATCTTAAATTTAATTTTCTATTTATACAATTTGTCAAGAACAGAACTTGAATGATACGAAGTTATAAATTTTTTTTTTTTTTTTGGGTGAGGTAAGTTGCAGGGATGCATATAAATCTCGTTCAACCCTCCTTTTTTTTTTTTTTTTTTTTATAGAGATATATATATATATATTTGGACAAGGTAAGTTGCACATGAATCAACTTCAACCTAAACCCATTATCTGATTTGTACGGTTGGGTTCGTAAAGGCAGATCAATTCGGTTACTAATTGAATTTTTTTGGAATCAGTCAGATTAAGAGTAAAAATATCCGGATCATAGTATTAGTTACCAGATAAAAAAAAAATGATAGTAATAATCTATATCCATAAATAGATGAATAAGAGAGAAAATAAAAGAAATGATAGTATTTTTTTTGGATAAGATTGAAAAAAAAAAAAAAAAAAAAAAAAAAAAAAAAAAAAAAAGAAGATAACACTATCATACTCTTTGAAATAGAACATGAGTGGAATAACAATTTCCTTTTTTTTAATTATAGAGGGCTATTTCGGAATTATGAAAATACTATTTAAACACTATCATTTTCCTCTTATCTTTTCATTTTTTGAGGAATATGATATGAGGGATAACTATTCCTCCTTATCCTTTCCTTTATCTCTTATTTTAACCCATCCAAACACAATCAACTTTATCCCTCTCCCTATCATTTCCCTCACTATCCCTCAATCCAAACAAAGCCTAAGCTTCATGTGTTACAAAGAGCCAAAGATTGAAGCGTGGCAAAGAGCCCCGAGTAACAAAGGGTTAGGTCTTAAGTGAACTCACCCTGTATTTCAAGGTTCGAACCCTCCACTAACTCCTTAACTATTGTCACATAAAAAATAATAATAATAAATAAATAAATAATAGTAGTATATGCTCAGAGAACTAGTATCAATTAAAAAACCTGTCAAAATAATAATAATAATAATAAAATAAGTAGTAAGCCCTTATATGAGAGAGTTTTGTAATATATCCTACAAGGTTACAATATTATCAACTTATACCCTCACACTTTTAGGTACCTTTTTTAACACATACATGAGCCCAACTCTTGGACACAACCACTAGAAAAATGTCCACACATCCTAAAATGAGCAGATCCAGAAAATGACACAAAAACACAACCCTCATTGGCATGGGTTGTCTCCATGAACACAAAATTCATGCTACATTAAAACACCTACTTTCCTCATATAGTATTGTTTCATTTAGGATATTAAATATGTTATTGAATTGTATATTGCAGATATTTCGGCTCCGTTTGTTTGAAATTATTACATTGTCCAAGACTACATTGTTCCGTCCAATCACAACCTAACATGCAGACAATAAAATTTGATTTTTGTTCGGAAAAATCAAATATGAATGGGAGTAGCATTCATTAACAAAATTTGTTATGTCAACCCTACTAAACAAGGGAAAACAGGTAGCATTGTTAACTTATAGTGTAACTCAAGAAAATCCACCCAATTTAGCTGGATCAATCAAGCCATGGATAAGAAACAACATAAAAATGCATCATGAAAGCCACTATGCATAGCAAAACTCGAAAAAATATATATAGAAACCATTACCTAGTGTCAATCTCACCTGCTTGAGATGCTAGGAGCAAAAAATTGAAATTTGTCAACTTGAATTTTTATCATTATATCAAATGATGGTTGCAAAGTCAGAGATAGACACAGGTAAACATATACATACTGTTGAAAGTACACCATAATATTGTCTTTATGATGCTACCAAATTGAGACTTCAAAGATACTGTCTATTGCTTCAAAATGAGTCCCTAGAAATGGCCTTCACTGACCTTGGCGAGGACATCAGCAAACTGATTGCTCTCTGAGAGTATTGCTAAGGTGACACACTGTCGACTTCGGCCAATATGTCATAAATGGGAGCTCTGTGAGTGAATCCGCAGTGTCATCGTCTTCAAGGATGGCAGATTTTTGGCTGCTCTTGTCAAGTGAAGACGTCGAACCAATCAGAATAAAACGCAACTGAGTCTAATGCAACTTGCTTACCTGCCAATGGTTTCAATGAACCCAGAAAATTAAAAAATATGATCATAAAAAAATGGATTCGCACATAGTAACTACTCTTGGACTAGATCATGTATTCTCATGCTTATCAGCATTAACCTTTAACACTGGATCAAATATGTATGGTTGACCCTGTATTTCAGGGTCATTTCACATCTAACATGGGCCTCCTACATTGGATCTAGCAACTGTTACAATATTAAACGGTGCAAGCCTAATAATCAACTGCAGACTAGCTAAGAATATGATAAAAGACCTAAATCACTATTATTTCAATAAAACAATAGCCAAATATAGGACAGATGTGCAAGGAATCCATTTTCAAAAAGCAATAGAAAATTCCTTCAGAATCATTGCCTCTCAGAAAGCAATAAATGACTCCTTCGAAATAGCAGCCACTAATCTCAAAATTCCCCTACAATCCTTAGTCACGTAGACAACGTGAGACCAGTGATAGGACTTCCTCTAAGCTCCATTAAAATAGACCGTCCGACAATCATTGCCTCCAAGAAAAAAATTGCCCTCATAAATAACATCTAACTACATAGTAGAAGAAGAATGATCAATGACTCCAAAAGTAAACTCCAAGACCAAAATTGCTCAAAATCAATCTCTATAGAACCTAAGAAATAATAATCCCTGAACCAATAAAAAACTATAATGATTTAAATCAAGAAGATAAAAAAAAACAAAAAAAAATGTTGGGGGGTGGGGGGAGGACAAACAAGAAATTTTAGTAGCTGCCAGATTTTGTCAGAAACTTCATGATGGCCAAGGCAGGTGGATCAAAAACATTGTTTCCATTTTGGGTTAGTTTGTGGGAGCAGCATAATGGGCAAAGCAAAAAGGGATGATCTCAGATCCTGGTGTATAAATTAGGAATCTCACCATTCAAACATATTATGGAATGCTATTATGTATATAAAGGCATGTTATTTGTCCAACTTGTCTTAATGAACATCCCTTCTATAACTTGTTTGGACAAAACAAATAGAAAAAAAAAAATGGAAAATAAAAAAAAAAAACTACTCCAAGTGAACAAAACCTAGAAATGGCGGCAAAATTAAGAATGCTTAGTATCTGGTCCTGATTAACCCTTGACAAAAATGAAGAAAAATGTTTTTTCTGTCAATGTATTTTAGTCATGCACACATGCTGCACTTGCACTACTAAATAAACTGTTCATCTTGTCCTTATTTCATTCTATACCATTTGAGACCTAGAAAATAAGAGAACATTACAATAATCAGAAAATGAAGAAAAACTGTTCATCTTGTCCTTATTTCATTCTATACCAAAACCTAAATGATCCGTGAGACCTTTTTAAACTTCTCCCCATACCCAACTAAGTTATTTCTGGTCGGTAGCATGCTGCACATACTTCAAAATATACTAATCAGAAAATGTGGGCCTAAACTCTTCTTCTATAGAAGAATTGCATATTGATAGATCTCTTGTACGCGAAAGTTAAATCCAGATAAACATGTCTTACATAATATATGATAGAACAACATACAGGTCATGACACCTGAGACTTTGTAGCCATAATAAAATCATGGATACTTAAATCCAGAGACAATGGTTTTACATAATATATGAATGAATAGACAAGTAAGAACACATAGGACTAATTAGCCATAATAAAATCAAACACACATGGAAATGACCACTAGCCCTACATATATAATAAGTCCACTTACTAGTAAAAAAAGGCGATCCACCAAACCCGTGTAAATACTATATAAACACACAAACCAACCATCACAATCACCACATGAGTATTCTGCGGAAATAGAAAAGAACTAATAATTGAAAGATACAGCAACTCAAATGGATCTACGAAGCAGATCAACCAGTTGTCCAAAGTAAAAAAATTAGTGCGTATTTCATAACATTACAGATGAGAAACATAATTATGAAAATTTCCAAGATGTGACAAATTCGAAAGAGAAAGTCGATGTGATCTTCATAATATACAAGACAGTCTTACCTCTTCTCCTACTGGATCAGCCACCAAACAACCTCATTGAAGTGATTAGAGGATCACTTCTTAGCAGACCTGATATGCAGCCAAATCATTTTTGATAGAAACCTTGAAATCCTATCTCACCCTCATACGCTTTGAATACTTCTGGAGCTAACTCCTTATACTTGGTAAGAAACCTAGTCTCAAATCTCTTTTTGCTTTCATGTAACGCCCATATCAAATGTACATTCTTCCCAATCAAACCCTTTCACATCAGAACTTGCAGAACTGAATATCTTGGAATGAGTTTCCTTTCCAAACTAGCTAGAAAAAGGAGAGGGCATTCAGCAGTCTCTGATGCTCTTAACCCCACCTTGTTCACGAAGAAATCCATCAGTTCCCTGATCTTCTTCTCTGAGGAAAGCAAAAACCTCAGTTCCAATTTGAATGCCGAATTAAATGTGCTTTCAGACTACCCAAAGCTCATACAAGCTTCCTTTTTCTTTTCCCAATTGAGTTTGGTATTCATCGACATTGTACTGATAGCCGATAAGTATGATCGACTTTGGGGATCAAAATCCATTTCCTTAACTGCATCAGTAACCTCTTTAAACACATCAACTCTCGACATTAGTGCTCTACACTGCAACATGATTGTTTTCCAATATGGGATTCAGGCACATCATGAGCCCGCAAAGTGTTGATATTTGGCACCATAAGTTTCTGAACGTCGCACAGATTGACCTGGATAGATTGCTTTAGAGCATAAATTAAATTCTCATTGGTTGTTATGTATCATTTAAGGAAATTTAATGTGGGTTTGATTCACATTAAAGCTAAAATAATTCTCACAACAGCATTGGCCATCTCTGATGGTTAGTGAAATTAACGGCATGGGTTGGTTTGTTACACAAATGTACCTAGAAGTGAGTTAACTATAATTATTCAAAATAATAAACCAAACTAGAGAGAAGTAAGTGTAATTTACCCTTAGTATTAATATTAGACTTTTTTCAATATGATCTAGTTTTTCTAGATATATTTTTTGTTAAAAAATAGGATTTAAAACCACATTATTCGATTATTTGTTTTTTCAGATATATGCTTTCTGAAAAATAGAATTTAGAAACACATCATTCCTTTATTTTTAATGTTGCTGTTTGTTGTTTTTTAGATATATATATTTCCTGAAAAATAGTTTATAAAACCAAATCATTCATTCATTCCTTTATTATTCTTGTTGTTGTTTTAGATTTTTTTTTCCTGCAAATAGAATGTAAAACCATATCATTTGTTTCTCTTTTTCTTCTTCTTTTGTTTTTTTCCCCGAAAGGTCTTTCGTTCGTTTCTAATTGCCTCATGAATTATGTTGCATGCTTTTTTTAGAAGAAATAAAAAAAGAAATGTGATACTCACATTGCAAAATAAGCTACTGCAATTCAAAAGTCTGCACTACAAAAAGACCATTAAACAAATTTAACTAGTAGAAAGTAGCTGTCCGGGTAGAATTGCAAATTCCACTGAAAGTAGCTCAGAAGAACCAAATATGAATGGGTGTAGTATTCATTAACAACATAAAAATGCATCATGAAAACCATTATGCATAGCAAAACTAAAAACAAATATATAGAACCCATTACCTAGTGTCAATCTCACCTGTTTGACATGCTATGAGCAAAAATTTGAAGTTTGTCAACCTTAATTTTTATCATTATATGAAATAATGGTTGCAAAGTCGGGTATAGACACAAACATATATATACTGCTGAAAATACACCATAATATTGTATTTATGACGCAACCAAACCCTGTATTTAAGAGCCATTTAACATCTAACATGGGCCACCTAAACATAAATTACATCTGACAACACATAGTAGAAGAAGAATGATCAATGACACCAAAAATAAACTCTAAGACCAAAATTACTCAAAATCAATCAATAATCTCTTTTTCTACATTTAAACCTAATTGTAACCTCGATAGAACCTAAGAAATAATTACACATTGTCTAAGAAACTACCTAAACCAATAAAAAACTTTGATGATTTAAATTTTAGAAGAAGAAGAAAAAAAGGGACAGACAAGGAATTTTAGTAGCTGCTGGATTTTGTCAGCAACTTCATGATGCCCAAGGCAGGTGGATAAAAAAAAAAAAAAAACATTTCCATTTGGGTTAGTTTGTGAGAGCAGAATAATGGGCAAAACCAAAAGGGACGATCTCAGATCATGGAGTATAAATTAGGAATCTCATATTCAAACATATTCTGGAATGCTATTACGTAAATAAAGGCATGTTATTTGTCCAACTTGTACGGACGAACATCCTTCTATAACTTGTGCGGACCCAAAAAAAAGGTCTACCAGTGAACAACACCAGGAAGATAGCAAACTTAGAGATGTTTTTTTGTCTCATCCTGATTAACCCTTGACAAAAATTCCAAAAATGAAGAAAAAGGTTTTTCCCTGTCAATGTTAAGATAAATCACCATAGTTAAATTTTCTTCCCTGCTGAATATAATTAGCACTGAATAATAAGTGTACCCAAAGGAACTGATCATATTTAGAGATGGAAACAAAAATTATGGGGGTCATAACTGGGTGAGTTAGTGTAATGGCAAAAGTTTCAACTAACAATTGTGAAAACCAACAAGCGTATGTAAACCATAGATACACTTGTTAAGGCCTTTAGAATATATAATGAAGAATGACTTTGACGTCCTTGAAACCAAATCCTAATGTTCCAGGAGATCTTTTTCTACTTCTCCCCAATTCAAATATCTCATACCCAACTAAGCTATTTCTGGTCAGTAGCATGCTGCATATACTCCAAAATATACTAATCAGAAAATGCAAGCTGTGGGAGTCTTACAAAGTCCGGAAACAAATTGAACTCTTCTTCTATAGAAGAATTGCATATTAATAGATCTCTCATACGCGAAAATTAAATCAAGAGAAACACGTTTTATATAATATATGAAAGAACAGACAAGTAAGGACACCTAAAATCACGGAAAGTTAAATATAGAGACAAAATATATGAATGAATAGACAGGTAAGGACAAATTGGACAAATTAGCCATAATGAAATCAAATACACATGGAATGACCACTAGCCCTACATAAATAATAAGTCCTCTTACTAGTAAAACAAGGCAACCCACTAAGCCAGTGTAATACTATATAAATACACACACAAACCATTACAATCACCACATGCAGGATAGAAAAAAACTAATAATTGAAAGATAAAGCCACTCAAATGGAACTATGAAGCAAATATGCCAGCTGTCAAAATTTTAAAAATTAGAGCATATTTCATCACATTACAGATGAGAAACATAATTATGAAATTTTCCAAGATGTAAACAAAGTCAAAAGAGAAAGCTGATGTGATTCTTCATAAGATACAAGACAATTTTACCTCTTCTCATACTGTATCAGCCACCCAAAAAACTCATTGAAGTGATGGCAGACCTCATATACAGCCAAATCATTTCTGAGAGAAACCTTGAAATCCTATCTCACCATCATATGCTTTGATTATCTCGGAAGCTACCTCCTTGTACTTGGTCAGAAACCTGGTCTCAAAATTCTCTTTGGTACGATTCATCACCCAAACCACATCTACATCCTTCCGAATCAAACCTTTTGACATCAGAACTTGCAGAACTGACCATCTTGGAATGAATCTCCTTTCCAAACTAAATCGAAAAAGGCTTGGGCATTTAGAAATCTCTGATGCTTTTAACCCCGCCTTGTTCACGAGGAAATCTATCACTTCCCTGATCTTCTTCTCTGAGGAAAGCATAAACCTCGGTTCCAATTTGAAAGCTGAATTAAATGTGCTTTCAGACCAACCAAAGCTCATACAAGCTTCCTTTTTCTTTTCCCAATTGAGTTTGGTATTCATAGTCATTGAACAGATAGCCCATAAGAATAAAATACTTTTGGGATCAAATCCCATTTCCTTAACTGCATTAGTAACCTCTTTAAATACATCAACTCTCGACATTAGTGCTCTAGAATGCAACATGATTAGTTTTCCAATGTGGGATTCAGGCACGTCCTGAGCCTGCAGAGTGTTGATATTTGGCACAAGAACTTTCTGAACGTTGCGCAGATCGAGATGGATAGATCGCTTAAGAGCACAAATTACATTCTCATTTGTTCCTAGGTATCGTTGAAGTAAATTTACCGTGGGTTTGATTCGGTTTTCTAAACTGTAACGTAACATGTAACATGAACAGATAATCCTAGGCAAGTCAGGTCCGACAACACCCAAAGATTTGAAATACTCAATTTTGGGTCTCAAATTTGTCTCTGGATCAGCAAAAATTAATTTTGGGGTTAAAGAAATTAGGACAGAAATATGTGTTTCAGTGAACCCATACGACCTTAGGAGTTTAAGAACCGAGTCCGGTTTCTCTGTACTGTTGATGTTGACCCCCTTAGCAGCTGAGAGAGCAGATTTTAGAGACAACCCACATGACTCTGTGAGGTAAGAGATGATTTGTTTCTCAGTGAAATTTGATTTGTTCGCTATAGATTGGGTTTCAAAAAAACGAACAATAGTGGGTGTATTGTGATTGATTCTGTGATGTATGAGAGTGTCGTACATGAAATGAAAGATGGGTGATATAGACTTACAGGATCTGAAAGCCATAGGGTTGAGCGATTTGAATGTTAGCCTCAGTCCTGTGCTCGATCTTCCACAAGTTTCAGGAATAAACCCTAGCCCTTCAGAAAAGCTTTTTCAATGTCGCAAGTAAGCTCAGATCGAGTTATGTTAACGAGTCACCCAATCGTGATTAAACCATAAACCTCCAATCGTGACTAAAAAGCAAAAATTGCTTTGGGCCTTTAAAATGTGCTCATATCAAGGATCCAAAGGGCACTGCTTATTTTAAGACTCGAGGAGTGGCGATTTAAGCCCATCCTCATTAGACTCTAATTTCCATTCATTAAAATTAAATTATTTAAACACACAAATTTAAGTGGGTAGGTAATAACAAGTAAAAATGAATCAGTGTATAATTCAATTGTTGATGATGAGTCAAGAGCTAAGTCAAATTAAGCAAAGCGAGAGTGAGAGTGATAGCGAATTCGAGAGCGGGAACATGAAAGCGACAGAATTAAGTCGTAAATAGTGAAAATTTGAATCAGAGCGCGTGAAGAGCATAAGAGCGACACCTATTGAAAAGAATTGTATGACTTAGGTTAAGAGCGGGTAAAAATCTAATTGGTAAAAAATCTAATTGGTAAAAAATCTCATATTTGACGTATTTTTTAGCAAAAAGAGAGAAAATTGGCTATTTTCTAAAATAAACTTACAATTCAGGACTCAGGAGTCATAACTTCCAAATAGAAATTCCTAAAATAACAGTGCAAGGAAAACATGTTAACGCGTTTGTTAATGTGTATTAGGTTCAAACCATGTTATTATTTATATTGAATTGACAAAGAAAGTATTGTGTATTAGGTTCAAACCATGTTCACGTGTTTGTTAATGCTTATTACTTAACTCTCCATTAGTTGGAACAATGACACACTAGAGAATTTGATTAATAACCTATGTAATGAGCTAATTATGCACTTTCGATTGCAAATTTCACTCAGAAATAGAAAATATACTTACTTTGCAAGTGAAAAATAGCTTAAAATAAGTAGATATGAGTGTTTCATGTAGAGTTTAATTTCAATAATGAACATGTAAAAATCAAGAATAATGAAATTAATTAAATTACAAAATTAAGCCAAGGAGATTTTAGAGTGAGTGAGTTACTGTCGAATAAAGATTTTGAAACCCTACAAACAAGAGAATGACTTCTCTACCAACAAACATTGTCTAAATCTCCTTTCCCATAATAAAAACTTGAAAACCATAGCAATCATCAACAAAATAATCACATTGCAATCCTATTTAGAAATCGTATAAATAATAATTCCAATTAGATCACAAAATTGAAAAGATACACCTCAATCCATCCATGATAATCACATTGCAATCTTATTTTAGAAATCGTATAAATAATAATTTCAATTAGATCACAAAATTTAAAAAGTACATAATTAATCCAGTATTATTAATCACATTGCAATCCTATTTTGCATACGACCACGACATAACTTATTTATTTTAAAATTTTCCAACATAGCCATCATCAACAATATTATTAAGTTCAACCTAGGAAAAGAGAGGAAGGGTAAACAGGCAGCATTGTCATAGAGATCCAGCCATAAGGATTCATATCCTACATCTTCAGTGAGAAAATTTCTGGTCAACTGGAGAAGAACTTGAATATGAGATTGCAGCTCTGAACCCGAAGGTTATTGCCTCGCCAACGAACACTCCACCTTTGTGACTACCTAACAAGAAAAATAAAAAAAGAATATGAATTGAACATCTTGTAAACCAACAGTAAAAAACTGCAACAAAATTATGATCAACAATTAATGCCAGTAAGAAGCTAAAAACAACAGAATTGAAGTACTGCCAAAGAAAAATACAAGAAGGTTCTCTTCCATCTTCTCAATGGATTTTACCATACAGAGGAAATGCTTTACTCTTGCAGAAGTGACTGCAATCAAGCAGGAAACCTTAAGAGAATATAACCAAAATAACATAAATGACAACAATAATGACAAGTAAGTTCAGTCACGACCCAATAAACAAAAAAACAAAAACAAAAAAAAAAAAATTCAATCACGACCTTAACCACTAAAAGGAGAAAAACAAATTTTAAATATATTAAGCACTAGCGATATACAAACTTCACTGATGTTGGCTCTCCTTCAGCACCTAACAACTGTCTAAGCTAAGAAGTTATTAGCTACTTCAACATGAGAATGCAAAATATAGCACATACAGACAACGTAAAAGTGATAGCAAAACGAAGGATGCAAGACACAATTCTCTGTTTCGACTTCCCCCAGTAAAGAGAGTATAAAGAATTAAAGATATAGATGCCTATTGGGATTGGGTGTGTCTCTTCATCATTGGATACAACCATTTAAATGTGTTTCTTCACACTGAACACATTCACTCCAATTGGTTGCAATGATTCACATGGTGTATATTCACCAATAGACACATCCACTCCAATAGGTTGCAATGGTTCACATGGTGTTTGTTCACCAATAGACACGTCCACTCCAAGAGGTTGCAATGGTTCACATGAACAGTTATGTCTGTTGGTTTTGAATTACATCTTTTCATCCTATAACCAATCAGTAATCGCACATGTTCAATCACAGGCATCTATTATGTTAACACCTAAAATATGATCCAAAGTAACCATGCCACGTGGTTGAAAAACCCGATATCTGAACTATGGATTAGCCCACGATTGACAGGGCTAAATTTTAATTTTTAATCATGGTGGTTGGAATTAAGGTTGAGATTTAAGAATAATGGAATTCTTACTAAGGTAAGGTGTTGAGCTCATGGCTAAAAATGGCCAAGGTGTCTCGGTCACTAATGACTGACGAAAGTTCCATCGACCACTAGACTGACGGAGGTGTGGCTGGCGGAAGTTCCATCGACCACTAGGCTGACGGAACTTACATTGACCATTAAGTTGACGGAGGTCCATCGATCACTAGACTGACGGAGGTGTGGCTGACGGAAGTTCCATCGACCATTAGGCTGACGGAGTTCCATCGACTACTAGACTGACGGAGGTGTGGCTGACGGAAGTTCCATCGACCATTAGGCTGACGGGGGTCCATCGATCACTAGACTGACGGAGGTGTGGCTGATGGAAGTTCCATCGACTATTAGGCTGACGGAGGTCCATGGATCATTATGACTGAAGAAAGTTCTCAACCATCATGAGCTAAGATTTTCTGTGGTCATGGTCAGGGGTCTCAGTCACTATGACCTAAGAAAATCTCTCGACCAACCATAGTTGACAGTCTCCACCAATGATCGAGAATACACCTAATTGATAAGATGGATCTAATACCTCTTTCGGTCATAATCACTTGAAGAATCTTTGGTAAAATTCAAATGAAGATCGACTGTGAATTCCAATGTTTCAAGAACCTAACAAGTCAGGTCTGGAAACGTAAAGAAAGCTTAAAATAGAAAAGGACAACTTGACCAAGTCACAGGTCCAGAGATGCAGAACCCCAGATGGAAGGTTCTCACCTACATCTAATGAAAAAAGTCAGATGTGTCAGTAGTCAGATGATGCCAAGCCAGTGTACAGATCAAGCCAAGCATGACAAGTGCATAAAGCTGAAAATGGCTTGAAGACCAAAATCATCAAGCATGAAAGAATATGCACCATTTAGTCAAAAATACTATGTCAGACATACTTGTATCTGCGCATAGAGAAATGTGCAAGTCAATCAACCTGACCAGCTCAGCAAAATGGTTAGAGTAAGTCACTTTCAGCTTACAACCAATTAATTTCTAGAGAAACGGTTTGAAAGAGACAACACTAGATGGAGGCTTCTATAAATACCCACTTAAGGCTTACAAGGAGGAAGTCTAAGACCATTTCTAAAGTTCAATGTTTAGCATTCATATCACTTAGCACTTAGTTTTTATTTCATCAAGTTCAGTTTAGCACTTAGCTTTTATTTCAGCAAGTTCAGTTTAACACTATCAGTTTAGTACTTAGTTCATCTTTCAGCATTCAATACTTTAGTTTCCATTTCAATCAAGAGTTTGTAATTCATTCATCATTGTAATCAATCAAGTTCAATGAAGAAAGATTTGCAGATTTAGGTATATTTATTGTTCAATTTAAGTTGTTTCTAATTGATAGTCATCTAAATGTTTAAAGTCTTTTCTTAAAGGCAATAGCAACCTTAAGGAGAGGGTCATTCCTACTCTCCAACTTTCACCTGAATTACATTAGGTCGGCAACCCGACCCGGTTGGAATAGTTTGGCAAGAAAATAATTGAGTCCATCAGGACTTTGGCACGCCCGCGTTCTAGGTCAGCCATTCATTGGCTAGCGACCTCAGACCACTTTGTGAGCCAAACATATTAATGACTAATCAAACAATTTTCATTCATAATTTCTAACAATATGAACTTCCAAACCCACAAGATGTCCCCTGACATTCTATTTCTTAAATTTAGAGATTATAACTGATAGTGGTTAATAACATGCACACATTATTCAAAAGAAAAACTCCGACTCCGTCAATAATTCTAACATTTAGGATCTCTTTTTGTCAGCAAATGCGTTGCCACCAGCAGTTGACTTTTGCAAGAAACCTCTTCAACAAACAGTGGATCTTTTGAAGGACGGTTTATTATTTTGACTCCAAAAAGGAACTAAATATTCATTAGAAAACTAGTTTTCAGGTGGATAAGTATAAATCTGCACATTCATGAAACTCAGAGTGGCTCATCAGATGATATACTGTAATACCCCTAATTTTAAAAGGATAGTCTCGGCATTTATTTATTATTTTTATTGTATTTTTGCGTGATTTTTTTGTTTAATTATTTTTATTTATTAATTTTATGTGACATGTATTTGGTTGGCATTTATTGTTTAAGTGTTTTAATTGTTTAATTATGAATTTTATTTTCGTTAATTGTTTCTTATTTTCTTTAATTGGGTTGTGTATTTAGTTATATGTGTATTTTCTATAATTGGGTTAGTTGGTCTTTCTAATGTTTAATTGGTTTATTTAAATGTTTTAATTAGATTAAATTATAGACTAAATTAGTATCAGTTACTGTAGTAAAATAAATTAATAACTGATCTAATTTTAAACAGTAGGGTTCCCTAAGAGGTTACGCGTATGTAGCCGAGTATCTTATAACCTAGATAGCTTTATGAGCCGACAGTGAGTATAACCTAGGTTTTTATGGGCCGAGTTATACATGGATTAG